ACAAACATCATATAGGATCGATCTCAAAAGAAATTAACCAAGATATAACATAATTAAATTTTCTAAAACCAAAGACAAACAAGAATTTTGAGATCAGCTTGTGAAAAGCAAATTATCAGTTATTGATGGGACATCAATAATACTGAACACTGAATTCTTGTTGGAAACCATGCGGACAAAAAGACAGTAAGATAGCATATACAAAATTCTAAAAGAAAATAATTATTAACCAAAGACCCATCAAAGTTACCTTTAAAAATGGGGGCAAAGTAGGACATTCCCAGATGAACATGAAATTTGTAAACACCAGAACAGCCTTACAAGAAATATTAAAGAGAGTCTTTTGATCAGAGAACCAATAACATCAGACAACAACCTAAGCTAAAGATGCACAATAACTTCATCCAAATACAAATACAGGTAAAGAGTTCAAAAGTGAAATAAAGCTATAAAACTGATTACAAGGAAGCAAAGGTATTAAACTGTAAACAAAGACATTCAAAACAAAAGGGGAGATGAATGGTATAGTTATAGGACTTCAATATGGAGAGGTGATTTCAAGATATAGTTTTAAACATAGGAGAATAAAGGTAAACTTCAGGGTAACCACAAAGAAAATTAATAGATCTACTTATCAAAGTAAAGAAGAAAATGCAAAAGACTCAGTAAACACAACAATAAATGATAGTAAAAGAAAATCCTAAAAGAACTCAGCACAGAAAATTTAAGAGGAACAAAGAAACCGTTAACACCACACACGCACACACAAATTTTGATAAAATGGCAGGAGTGAATTTATACCTATTGATGTTGTTGTTGTTGTTGTTGTTAAGTGCCGTCGTGTCGGTTCCGACCCATAGCGACCCTGTACAGGGTTTCCGAGGCTGTAAATCTTTACGGGAGCAGAACACCTCATCTTTCTCCCGCAGAGCGGCTGGTAGTTTCGAACTGCTGGCCTTAAGGTTCGCAGCCCAATTCGTAACCACTACGCTACCAGAGCTCCACTGAATTTGGATTATTGGATAACAATGGATAAAATATGGCCCATCAATATATTATCTACTAGAGATATACTTGTGGAATCCTGGTACGGCACTGTAGTATAAACATTGGGCTGTTAGTCACAAGGTCAGTGGTTCAAATATACCAACTACTCCTTGGAAACCCTATAAAGGGTCTCTATGAATTGGAATCAACTCAATGGCACTTAACAACAACCAGATAGATACCTGAGGTCCTGGTGTGGCACTGTAAGATAAGCACTGGGTTGCTAACTGCCATGTGAGTGGTTCAAACCCACCAACTGTATCTTAAGAGCCCTACATTGGTTTCCTACAAGCCAGAACCACTCAATGGCACTTAATAACAACAACAACAAAGAGATGCACCTTAGATAAAAAGACTTCTTGTTGTTATCGGATGACATTAAGCCTATTCCAAATCATAGTGACACTGTGTAAGACAGAAACAATATCCAGTCCTGCACCTTCCTCACAATTGTTAATAAGTTTGAGCCTGTTGTTGCAGCCACTTTGTCAATTCATCTCATTTAGTCTTCTAAAGTCCTTTCTCATAACACGTCCAAAAGTATGTGAGGTGAAGTCTTGCTTCTAAGAACATTATGGTATTATTTATTTCAAGATAGATTCGCTCATTCTTCTGGCAATTCATGATATATTCAATATTTTTAAACAACCACATAAATAAAATGCATCATTTCTTCTTTGGTCTTCCTTATTCATTGTTCAGCTTTTGCATGCATATGAAGTGATTGAAAATACTATGGGTTGAGGCAGGTGCACCTTAGTCCTCAAAGTGACATCTTTGCTTTTGAGCAATTTAAAGTGGTCTTTTGCAGCAGATTTGCCCAATGCAATACATTATTTCTTGACTACTGCTTCCATGGGTATTGATTGTGGCTCCAAGCAAAATGAAATCCTTGACAACTTCAAGTATTTCTACATTTATGATGGTGTTGCTTATTCATCTAGTTGTGAGCACTCATTGAAAATCACATTATTTATAGTAGTCAAAAAATAAAAACAAACCAAATGCACATCACTGATTGATAGATAAACAAATGTGGTGTGTATATCCATATAATGGAATATTATTCAGCAATATAAAGGGAAGATTTATGGATACATGCTACAGCATGAATTGGTCGTGAAAACACTCTGTTAAGTGAATTACATAAAAGGCCACATGTATAAGTCCATTTCTATGAAATACCTAGAATAGGCAAATCTGTAGAAACAGAAAGAACAGTTGTGGTTACCTAGGGTCCTGGTGTGGCACTGTAAGATACGTACTGGACTGCTAATTGCAAGGTTGGTGGTTCAGACCCACCAGTAACTTCTTGGAAATCCTATACAGAGTTGCTGTGAGTGGGCACTGACTCAACAGCAAGGCTATCAGGAAAGGAGTATGACTGCTAATTGGTAAGGGCTTTTATTTTGGAATAAAGAAAATTCTTAAAAAATAGTTAATGGTGCTAGTTGTACCCCAA